CTAACGGAAATGCTTTGAGTAGTCAGGAGGCAAACCAAGTCCTCAGACAGTCGACATTTTACCCAACTCCACCCTAACGGGGCAAAATGAGATGCTCCTAGAGAGCCCTGCAAACAAGGCATAATGAATGCCTAGGGGACACGCCACCCGTCTCCCTAACCCCCAAGCACACAGAGGATCCTGGAATTGTGGGTTAACTGAATTGCCAACGAGCAATGTGAATCTGTGCAAAAATATCTCCAAGTCAAGCAGGTAGGACCCTATTACACCATCTTTAAATGAGGATTCATCACTTCAAAGCACACTGTTGGGAAACTGCTATTGCCAAACTCTGGAGTTACCGCAGAACCCACCTCGTACAGTGAGTAGCCCCAATTAACCGAGAAATGAAGCACACGGTGCTTTGAACAGGGCTTGACACAAACTCAGAATTGATGAACGCGGGCTGTTAGGTCTGTGACTACTGATATTATAATCGTTAAGAATACACCTCTCCCCTCCTTCCTCACTTCACTTCTGCCTGGACCCAGCAGATTTTCCCTACCTGCGAGGAGTCAGGCCTGCACACAAGAGAGTGGATTAAACACACACAAATACACATACACACACACACACACACACACACACTTCTTAAATCTCAACATGTCAAGGCCCCCTTCTTTTTACTCCCCCAACAGAGACATTCATACCCACACCCCACCGGTTCGACTTCTCCGACCATAATGTGTGTGGCCCTGGGCCCCGGCATCTATGTGGGGAGGAGGAGGCCTGGCCCACAGGGCTGAGGGTCTCCTGGCCCCGGTCTTGCCTGAGCCAAGTCGGGGAGACAAGGAGGCTTTGTGCAGCTCCCACCTCCCGGCATCAAGGCCCTTTCACTCGGCCGTCCCTCACCCCCCTCCACCCTGACAGGAATGGCTAGCCCCTATTTCCTGTCTCCCTGGACCCCTGCCAGACTCCCCACATTGGTGCCCTCAGCACTGCCAGGCTGGGAGGCCCGTGGGCATCCTGTGCCATTGCCTCTGGAGGCATAGGTGCCCTGGGAACGCACCCTCACATTTCTACATGGGCACCTCCCAACTTCTCCGACCTCACACTGTGCTCACTGTGGACCCTGACGCTGCCTGCCAGGGTGACAGGAGCCTATGGCACTTCATTTATGCAGGAGGCTGTGGGTGGGCTCCCCCTAACTGCTAAGAACTTGCTACTCTGAGCCCACAAATGCCCCATTTGCCCTCTTCTCCTTTCCACATCTCTCCGATTCCCTCACTACCTGGCTACTCCCTTGGGGCCCGAGAGTGAGCAGGCCTGATAATGCTTAAGAGCATGGGTTTTAGAATCAGATCTACCTGCTTGCAATCTTGGATCTGCCACCCTCTGACCTTCATCAAATATATCATATTTGAAAAATGGAGATAAGGATACCTACCTTATAGGTTTAATGGTGCAAGGATCACACGAGCTAACACAAGTACAGCCTTAGCGCAATACCAGGTTCAAAGAAGTTTAGCAAATAACAGAGTAGTGATACATAATGATACTTATTGCCATTAATCCCAGCCGGCCATCAACTTGCTTTGAGGCCTGGCATATGGGTGGCATATTTCCCAAGTTGCTGGCACTGATGCCAGTTTCCATTGGTCATTTCTAGAGAATGTTGGAAGGAGGACGTCAGCAAACTGAGTCCTTACTGTCATCTTGCCCAGAAGTGTTCCTTCATGGGTTTAGGCTGCTTTCCATTGGCGTGAGGAAATAAATGATTTCCCAACATTATCTCAGTTCTTTTAGTTCTACTGAATTTTCTAAAAAGCAACAGAATCTCCCACTATTACCAATATTTTGTCTCCTTCGGAATTCCTCTTCTTTTAGTTTGTGCTTCATTGGTCAGACCATGGCTAATTAATAGTGGTGATGGTGGCATTTTTACCTTGTGCCTGGCTTAATAAGAATGCCTTCTCTCCTTCCTCCTTGCATGTACATGTAAACTCTTTGTTTAAGATAAAATAGTTATCTTGTTAAGGAAATGCCCCTTTATTTCCATTATTTCTGCCTCTTAGAGTTTGTTGTTGTTTTTAAGTCTGGGGTGGCTGTTTAATTTCATCAAATAATAGTTTCAGTATTTATTAAAATGATAAGCTTTTACTTTAGCTTCCTTGACCTCATGATAGACATGATGGCTAGAGATTTTCTGGAACTCCACTTAGGAATGAACAGCTAACCAACAATTTATTTTATATTTGAATTAGTGGCTAAAGGATGAACTATGCAATAAAGAGCATTAGTGTTTTAAATGTCCATTCAGGAAAAAAATTAAGTTTGAATCTTTCCTGACAACCAATACAAATTCTAAATGGATTAGAGATTATGCCTTTAAAAAAACACACAAAAAACCCCTTTTAAACTATTTGAAGGAAATATTGGAAAATATTTTTATAGTCTTGGTGTGAGGAATCATAAACAAGTTGTAAAACCTAGAAGCCATAAAAGAAAATAGAGAGATAGGACTACCTAAATATCGAAATCTTCTGTATGATGAAAGACACCACAAAGAAAGTTAAAGACAATGGGAGGATGGAAAGAATATTGCCAACATACACAACAGACACTGATTTAATACTCAGAATATGTGAAAGAAAGGCGGGGGGAGTACTTGAATTGGCAAATAAAGCTCAACTTCACTCATAATAAATAGCATATAAATAAACGTTTTTCATCATCAAATTGCCTATATTTTAAAACCTATATATCCAGTGTTGGAGGATGTACAAGGAAGGCTACTAGATCTACAACTTTACGTCTCTCCACTACAGAATTCTTTTATGTAAATAGCGCCCCCTGCAGCACAACTCCCACACAGAACAAGATTAATTGGAGACCCTGGAGAGTAGCTCTCAGTGCCAGTCCCTTGCAATGGGCTTGGTGAGAATTTTTGGCATATCCAGCAAAATATAAAAGGCCCTCTAACTCAATGATTCCTCTTCCAGGGACCTAGCCTTTCAGAAATACATGAGTACGTGACATGTACATAAAGGTATACACAAAAGTATGTTCCCTGGAGCACAGGGGGGAAGAGAAACAAACCACATGTCCATCAGTAGAGGACTGTCTGGACAAATAATGGTGCATCCATTCATGAGATATTCTGCAAGTCTTCAAAGGAATGAAGTGGATTTGTGTGAACTAACATAGAATGATCTTCAAGATTTGATGCTATGAGTGAGATAAACATGAATGTGAAAGCAAGTTCCAAACATATCTATTTTTCAATCCCAGGCACATGCTTGTGTGTGTGCGAATATACATTGGGTAGATAGGGCGTGCACACACAGGAACGGCAAGAGTCCGCCACACCGAGGGGATGGACTAGAATCACTGTGTAGGGGCGCTAGTGCCAGGGAGGAGTTTCACATTGTCCTCTGCCTGCTGTCCTACTCTGTGACTCACCACAAGAAAGCATTGCATGTGTGTCCGTTTCATTGCAAATTCAAATATTAGGTAGGTAGCCCACTGATTCTGGGCCATTCTTTTGACAATTTCTCACCTGGAAAGTCCTACTAACAAGTGTGAGGCATTCTTGGCATTCTTGAAAGAAACCCCTCTGAGCAGCTCATCTGGGCATCCTAATCCCCATGAGAGCATCTTAAAAACTAGATCCACGTCTCTGTCCAAGACCTGCTGCTTCAGAACTGGAATTTCTGTGCCTAAGGCTATTATCTGGGGGAGGAAGTGAGCAGTGAGGGCTGCTGGGTAGTGTGGTGACTGAATTGGAGACCTGCACGGCCACGATTGGGAATGAGAAGACAGAGACCTGCTTTGTCTGCAAGGACTCCCATTAACCCTGACGGGGCCCTGGCTGGAGATACAGTCTCCTGAGCTTGGTGATGAAGGCGCTCCACTGACACCAGGCTGCGCGCGCCAGGTTCTGCAGCGCAGATGTCAGGGCTGCTGCAGCTTTGGCTTTTGTTTTCACTAAAACTTGGGTTGTTTAGCACTTGTTGTGGGGGCGGGGGGGGGGCGGGGTGTCCCATGAATGAGGCTTTGACTGTTGTGTTCTAACCTGGAGGAAGGTGGATTTGAAGTTCACTGGAAAAGCCACCCAGCTCCTGCTCTGGCTTGCTTACATGAAGAAAGACAACTTAGTTCTCAGCAATGCTGTGAATATTATTATCTAAGGCAGTGATTTTCAACCCGTGTGCCATGACACACTGGTGTGCCACATTTTAAAACATGCAACACCTGACTATTCAGACAGGGGCACTGACCTGTTTTCCTTTAGATCAGTGGTTCTCAACCTGTGGGTCGCAACCCCTTTGGGGGTCAAACGACCCTTTCACAGGGGTCGCCTAAGACCATTGGAAAACACATATATAATTACATATTGTTTTTGTGATTAATCACTATGCTTTAATTATGTTCAATTTGTAACAATGAAAATACATCCTGCATATCAAATATTTACATTATGATTCATAACAGTAGCAAAATTACAGTTATGAAGTAGCAACGAAAATAATTTTATGGTTGGGGGTCACCACAACATGAGGAACTGTATTAAAGGGTCACGGCATTAGGAAGGTTGAGAACCACTGCTTTAGATTGTCAAATAAAAATGTCAACAGCCAACACAACAATAGCCATCCAATATGAATGAGTAAAAATTATACCTATTTTATTTTTATTTGATATACCTATTTATTTATTATCAGATCGGCAAAAAAGGATAATTTTTGATGTGCCACAGAATTTCAGTAATTAGTTTACTTGTGCTGTGAGATGAAAAGGTTGAAAACCGCTGGTCTAAAGGCTGGCCTGCAGAGACAGCAGGACTGGATTCAAACCCTGAATCCAGCCGGGTGATGTCGGCAAGGAGATACCAGCCGTGTGATTGTGAACAAGGAGATACCAGCCGGGCGACTGTGGGCAAGGAGATACCAGCCAGGCAACTATGGGCAAAGAGATACCAGCCGGGCACCTGTCGGCAAGGAGATACCAGGCAGGCAACTATGGGCAAGGTGATACCAGCCAGGCGGCTGTCTGCAAGGAGATATCAGGCGGGCAACTATGGGCAAGGTGATACCAGCCAGGCGACTGTGGCAAGGTTCTTAACATTTCTGGGTCTCAGTTTCTTGGGTTGAAGAATGGACGTAATGATAGGGTTGCAGTGAAGAGCAGAGAGAGGGTGTATGGAGAGGTTAGTCGATCAAAGCTCAGCTACTGTGTATTAATATTATGGTGGTTACTAGGCCGTTAGCTCCTGGAGGACAGACATACGTGAATGAGAAGTCTTTCATCAAAGTCTACCTACCACTGAATCAGAATCAGTGCTCAAAAACAGAGCTGAACACCGATTCTGATTCTATTAGGGCTCCTGGCCTTTCATTCCTTTAAGCTGTTTAACGAGTCTGTAAGTCATAGATAGGAATGCAAAGTAATGTTTGCCCAAATGTATGTAAACTATTCCTGTGATGGGCTCAGTTAATTCTCCCCGGGGTGTGGAAGAAGCCAGTTTTATCTATTTGCACATTCATGTCCATATCCCAGATCTGTGTCTGTCCTTTGGCTGGTTGTCACCTCTTACTGAGTCCCTCATTCATGACTTAAATAAAATCTCCAGCACATGCTCGTTTTTCACCTGTCATGATTTTACGGTTTTTTGAAAATTATCTTCTATTACTATGACTCCTTTAGCAGAACAGCACTTTTCTATAGAAGGCAGATACCCTCAGGGCCAGACACTGTCCCATGTAATGAGAGCGAATGACTTGTTCGTATGGGACAGAGAGCAGCTCCCACACTCGGTGCAGATCCTGCGCCAGGGCTGCGGGTGACTCGGAGGATGAAGGCACTGCTCTCAGCTTCGGTTGGCCGGCCAGGCTGTATAACCGGCTCAAAATGAATGCGGGGCCCGGAGCGGGTCCTCACCCTGACCCCCTCGCCATTCTCCCTCTCCTCTGCGCCCGAGCCCCCAGAGGCGCGGGGACTCGAGGGCAGCCCCTCCCCGGG